GTAAGGAAAACCGAACCACTCCCATGATGGTAAAGAACAGAAATATTCCTTCCGGCTGCGATATCGGACGATAAGCGATTTATTTAGAACTCCACCAGGTCCGTGACTGAATCTGTGTTGCCGGCGACTTCCTATATTTACCCCTCCCCACTCGCCCCGGCCACCGGTGTCCCCCGATGGCAGGGATCCGACCCTGTGCGACCCCCGGCTGACCCCGGCACACCGCTGTGGCGACACACGGGCGGCTCTCGCATGGCGGGCTAGCATTGGCTTTCCTTTCCGTCAGTAGAGCTGTGAGCTTTTCCTGTACAGCGGAAATTTTCCTACTGAAAGGGTCGAGGCGAGGGCATCATCTGGTCATTCCGCTTCAGATCGATCGATCGCCGTTGTAAAGAACCCATAAATTTCCCCAAACAAAACAGAATACGAAATGTTTCTTTTTTCATCTTCATGTCAAAACAGGAGAGCGGAACCTTGGTGGCGCTGGGTTACAGCCGTGCACCCATGCTTTGCACGTTGTGTGCTGTCGCATTCACGCACAGTGGGGTTCAGGATCAGCGATAAGATCACACCAACGATTTGTTAGCCATGCGACGTAAGTTCCGTCAGTCAATATGCTAGGATTGATGACTCGGCCACTCTAGCGCGAACGCACAGCAGGCAAAGTCACTGGGAATTCTTGAGTATGGCTCATCGCAAAGATATAAATGCAGAACCGCATTGTTCCTTTTGGTGTGCTTTCATAGGCAGTTCTTCCGAAAGGGCTGTTCGACACAACTGTGAAGAGATAGTCTCCTGTCCAAAACAAGCTGCATCAAATGTAACCGGCTGTCCACCAGCAGGAGCACACCGACCTCGAAGCAACACGTCCTAGGGAAAACAGTTCATCAATCATTGGCCGTCTCTTGCATTTCATTACTGCCCACCGCCATGCATGCGTATGACGTGGTGATCTCAATGCTCAAAAACAATTTTCCGAAATGCCAAAGGGAGAGCTTTTCCGCACGCCCCTTCCCCTCCTCCGCCCATGCCCACAACTCAGCAGCTGAGTGCTGGGCCTGTGGTTGTGCTGCTTGCCGAAGTTGCAGACGAGCTCGGTCAACGGGATCGGCAGGCCGTATGGTAAACTCGACTCCCGGGAGTGCATGGTGTGTCGGCGGCGAGCGCCGGTGATCCAGCTCAATCCCCAGCCGCGCGAGGGCCAATCATGCAGGAGACGGCAGTCGCCGGAGCCTATGGAGTCACGGCGCGCACTGACAGCCCCCCCCCCCCCCCCTCCGGCCGGCACATCGCGGGGGCGGCAGCCAGCTGGGGCCGTCTCCTCAGCGCCGGCCGCGATCCATCGATATTGGGACGTGCTAGCCGAGCCGTGCAGTGGATGGGTACAGCCGGCTGCGCCGCCGCCCGGCCAATTCAATAACTGCGCCGCCACCTGTCGCCAGCGATTGCGCCGCGTTCATTCTGGGGCCCGACAATTCTGAACCAGTTCAGGTTTGTCGTGTGTTGCCAACAGAAGCTGAAAGCAGATTGGTATCGCCGCCGTGAACATTCTGTAACAGGTATACAGTGAATTTGGCTTCGTGTTGCCGCGCTGCTTACGACTTGCAGCAGGCTCATAGGCAGATCGCGACAAGATGCGCTTTTCTTGACGATGCGTGATGTTTCAAACAACCCGGCGCCAACAAGGGGCTCGGACGCGCGATAAATGTCACGGCACCAGGCGTAAGTTATGGCCGGTGATAGGTGCGATCACTTTCGCGTCGGATTCTTGTCTCGATCTCTTAGAAATGATGGGGTCACTCGGGTCAGAATTCAGTGTCCTGAGTCAGTGAGCGATGGGTGTAATCATCGTTGGCTTTCTGAAAGGCTGCATACTCACAGACCGACTATGGAGGAAGGGGGAGGGGAAGGGGCGTGCGGCAAGGCCCTCCCTTATCTGGTCACCGATTTGTTCGGGGGTCGGATTCCCGAAGCCTTTGTCGCCGCAAGGACCCTCCACCCGCCCTCTCTCAACGTACAGTGTCCTTAAGAGGTCCCTCTACCTCTGCTGATGCCGACACATGCGGCGCATATGCCTGTTACATACGCCCCTTCACTCGATTCCACACATGTGCGTCATTTACTTGGTGTCCTCCCGGTCATATTACCACGAGGCGTGAGAGCCTGGTGTCGCCCCGCCGCGAAAAGCCGGTAGTCCGCTGGCGCGGGCTGATCAGTCCTGCTTCAGGACAGGGCGTCGTGTCAGCCCACGTCACAGGAACGCCCGACAGCATTTAAAACCTTACAGGAGAAATCCAAAGGGCATACCCAAAACTGTATCTTGATTACTACTTCCAGCGATAGCAGTGTCCTTTCAAGTAACTTTTGGCTTTTAGAAAAGAGGCGTCTATCTTATAGAACGAGTCTCTAGCCTCAGTCATTTCCAAAAAACATGGAACAGTTGGGAAAATTGTTGGCTGATGAATGGGCCGTGAGCCATCTGTAAAGCCTCACGCAACGGTGGAAAACTCGTTGCGTTCTCCAGCCACGATAATGTGCGGATTCTAAAAGGTCCATATCGACACCAAAACTTTGCATGCTCTTCGTAGTGTTAAGAATGTACGACTGGCAAAAAAATTGTGTGTACCAGGAAACAAATCTCAACGATTTATATCACAGCATATGATTGCACCAAAAATAAGGTCTCTTACCAAGTGCCTCAAGTCAGGTGGAACACCGCATGGAGAGGAATCAGCCCAAGAGAGGGATGAGGCTCTCCCATTTGCGCTCTCCTGAAGCCGATCAGTAGCGTATCTATGAGAGGTCATCGAGAGCGAGCGATCGATCGGAGTGAGTGCGGCCAGGCTCCTGTGCGTGTTACTGGTGTCATTTGGCCTGGTGGCTCGTGCGCCTGAAATGTGTCATGTCAAGAGAGTTTTTCTTGGGATGTTATTCGCAGCCCCTAAAATCCCTACACAAACAGTCTGGCATTCAAATTCATAACATTAGCGAACAGATAACCCACAAAAAACTCTTGTCAAATTACTTTCCGTGCTCTTTTTGGACATGACTTCGAACCGAACGCACACGCAAGTGCAAGTACGCAATCAAATCCACTGTCATATTCGGCGAGTTGGTGGTCAGCTCCCGTGCATCTTCTGGCTGGGAGCGAACAGCCGTAAGCAGCCTGCATGGGTCCTGTCCAGAGCTCTGAGTCCGGGGTCGAGTCCAAGTTCTAATACCCGGAGTCTGGCCGCGAGTCCCTAGTTCGCCCTTGCCCATTGCATGAATTCGAGTGCGAGTTCAATTATTTCTACGGCACAGGAATCCCAGTCCGAGTTCGAGCCCTAGTTCGAGTCATTGGGATTTATTTCGAGCCCCAGCCCGTCTATAGCTTCCAAAGCCATGACTTCGGTTCTCATCAGTCTCATAATAGATCACAACGGATAAGGAATGATCATGAGGACTGAACATGCCAGACTACAAGAGACAAAAATGGTAAAGCATGGTTCGAACTTACGCGTAGTCCAGCCTGATCTCATCCTACTATGGCCACAAACCTATCTAACGGTATGTCGAGTCAGCATTGACACACACACACACACACACACACACACATATATATATATATATATATATATATATATATATATATATATATATATATATATTGAGATGTGCGCACGTGCGCATGTGCACATGCCTAGCGTGGACATAAATGTGTTTGTCGGTCCTTGACGAAATTCTAGTGACCAATGCACAAGCTTGCATAACCCATCCCAGACCAATTAAGCCTTCCAAACCCGACCGAACCCGGAATCGTTGAGTCAGAATACGGCTCCGAGTCCTTGAAGTCTGCGTCTCTGATTCCGAGTTCGATTTCATGCGTTTTCCCGATTTGGTCAGGCTCAGTCTGAGGTTAATTCATGCATGCAAGGGTTCAATTCGCTTGATTCCGAGTTCCAAAGGTTCATGAGTTCGACACTCCAGTCCGCGTGGACTCACATCCATGCATGATTAGCAGTGGGGTTACAGGGTCTACCTGTTTGTTGCCGCGGGAGCCTTGGGAACTTGTTAAGTGTTGGAGAAGCGCTGTACGTGACTAGTTTTAATGAGCCGGCTGGCATGCCTGGCACGCATGCGGTGCACTTCCAACGTAACTATTGCAGTGGAAGGGTCCGGGACTGTGGATGGACGTAGCGTAATGATCTGCAGTGGAAGAGTCCGGGACTGTGGATGGGCGAAACGTAATGATCTTCAGTGGAAGGTTCCGGGACTGTGGATGGGCGAAGCGTAATGATCCGCAGAGCAGCGTTTGCGCGCGGACGTGCGGGAGTGCGCGCGGAAGTGCGAAGTGCAGCATGAAAATGACCGCCTGAATCACAGGAGTTCCCATCCCGTCCCTCACACAAGCGCCTATATGATCTAAAGCGCTCCTCTGCACGTACATCGAACCGTCCCTCTGTACGTACATTGTATCGAGCACGCATAGATCCGAGGGCTCGCCCCGAGAACGGAGTTCGGCAGAATTGGTTAGAACCTGGCTGGTAGGGAGGGAGGAGAAAGACTCAATTGGGAAAGTCCTCGATCGTTGTGGGCTAGAGTTCGACATTATGTTTCCACACACCTCCTGACCCATTCGTCCACCTCTAAGCAGGGAATGCCATGACTTGCGCTTATTATTTTTGATGATAACATAAGGCTCGGTGCGCCGCTGGGGAAGTAGCCGGGGGCAGTCCATCAGTGACTGTTGCAGTCAGCCCAAGGCCGGGCACGTGTCTTTTTCAGGTGACTGTTGCAGTCAGCCCCAAGCTGGGCACGCGTCTTTTCCGCCCACAAAGTTTTCGCTACTTCCATGTCAGGTTCCGCAGTTCTCGATAACCTTATATATATATATATATATATATATATATATACATACATATATAGCTGGATTCCGATGTTTTTTATAAACTTACAAATATTTCTATGTGTTTCTGGTCGTCCTTTAATATGGCTGATTTATACCGTTTTGCCGACAGGTACCTCCAAGATAACAGAATCGTTCTACGCGACAAAGATCTGAACAAGTATACACAGATCCAAATGGTGTAAGTGTTGCCGTGATATGGAGAGACGCGGGCATGACCTTGCACATAAACCGAAGATTTGTATGATGACAGGACCAGTGGAAGTGAGGACTCACACGTTCAAATTCACACCCATACCTGGTGAGGTTTCGTCCGAAAAACGATCCTGTCAAAAAACATTATATTTCGGGCACCAGACGTTTGCCTACTTCATTGGGCTTGTTTCTTATCTCCCCTGACTTTTCGCGAAAACAAGGCTATGGACCCTGGTTTTAACAGGCTTTTCCCAGCCACAATGTAATGATTCCTGGCCCCATCAGTTTGTTTTCTTTGACGTCAGACCACGACTCCTTGGCTCTTATTGGTTCTGTCTCAAAAACCGGAGCCGGATGCCTGATTGTAAGATAAATCTACGCTGAAGACAGGAAACATTCATGTGCTAAATTTTAAGTGACCAGCAATGGGTATGGACAACTTCTGCTTGAGCCAATCGGGTAGGTGCAATAACCAGCCTAGTTATCCCCCCTCCCCCCTACACCGCCCGAAAATCCGTCATGTGCTTACTGGCAGGGGTAGGTACATACCTCGCAAGATGCTTATCGTTAATTTACCAACTGGGTGCCGTGCATTGCATCTAAAAAGGTGGTGGCAGTTAATGATGTTTCCAACCGGTTGTAGCCAGTTTCACCGTGTCGCTGGCAGCAGCGTGGCGCAGCGCGTCAGCGGAAGCTGCAAGATCCCCGAATCTGCTCAGCCCAAACCAGTACATCGCACGTTTTGTAGCTCCTGTGCGGTGGTGCCGGTAATGCTGAAAGGCTTTGCGATTTGCTCAATACTTTGCTTCGCCTTACTTCGGACAATAATCATGATTAAGTCCCGTTCGAAATTCCGTTACGCTTGGCGTTTAGGCGGGCACTTCAGGCCGACAAAGTTCAGCCTGTGTCAAAGCTGTGGCAAAGCTATGGGGCGGCTGTTCCAACAACCGAACGAGGTGCTTTATCTGGGCGCCGCTGTTTCTGTCGTCCTTCGTAATCATCCAGGGAAGAAAGAGACATAACGCGGACGTTAATCTCCCATAATTGCGGCTTTAATCCTTTAGAACCTTATTTTGTCTGTGGTTTTCTCTTAACGCCGTAATGATTCACCAAGTTTTGGCCACATCTGGGCGCTATAACAGGCGCATATGCCAAGGTATCACCCTCTGAAAAAGTGGATAAGGTCCTACAGAACACGGCATTACCTCAGCCTCAGGTTCACTTAAAAGTTGTTTTAGTTTTTCATCGTATGCGACCTGAGCAGGGTAGTGAGATGTCGGAGATCAATAACGAACTTGAGCAGACTGTGGTTAGACCGTCTACCATTCACAAAGCATCAACTGACCGAAACCAGCAGTTTCTAGGATCCGGGACCGTTTGGAAGATTATCTTCCGGGTGGTAATTGGTGGAAAATGTGCGGTGTGGCGGCAGATGCCGAGAGGTCGTGTAGCGCTGGTAACGACCGAAGCTAGCCGAAACACATTCGTTTTCACTTCGGGGTGCGAGCTCCAGGCGGAGTCGTACGGCGTCACGGCTGGAACAAGTCCGGCTCGGAGAGGCTCAAGACCGACGTGCTTGCCGAACATAGGACTGCCTCACAGCATTGTGTAACGTTTATTGACAGACGCCGCAGAGCATAAGCGAAAGTTCGTACCATCAACCTGAAACATATTCTTCCGTTTCCTTTTCAGAAACTTAAACAGAAACGAACTCGAAGAGATACCGCAAAACTTCTTCTCTGGACAGGACAAACTCTTCAGACTGTGAGTACGAAGTTCTTTTGAGGCGGTCGGCGTGCTTGTTTCGTCTGTTTGACGCAGTGCTGCCGAGACGCACTCGGAACTTCCGTCGCTGAACGATTCCAAACGCTCGATGTTGGGTGACCTAAAAAAATTGCAAAATATGCTACCGGATAATAACCGGCACCAGAACTCCGCTTTGTGAAAACGCGGCTAACATTTTTTCAAGTATGATCACTTGTGACACAGATTTATTAGTACACATAATATAGAATTTTGCACGAAGAGAGGGAGACAGCTTGGGGCAAGCTTACCGGGGCCTTCTATGACATTCGCTTCAAACAAATCAGGCTACCGAACTCATACCAATCATCCGCTTCGCTTCCTACTGCATGAGCTTTACAAAACATGCCTTTGCAATAGCTGTTGTGCCAGCACGACTTTTCGAGGCCAACACAAGGAATGTACATTTTTGGACCTTGCCACGAGTTGTTTCATACCCTTAGACAGCTGAGCATGAGATACGGGCTCACGGCCGCTTCACCAAATGCCTCGCGATGGCATAACCGCACCAGATCCGGCCGCTAGCGGTCATGCCTTCAATGATTTTAACGTCGCTCGTCTTGATACGCCTAAAATGGATGACCGAGCAAGTCCAGTGGAGCATGTGGATGGTAAGTTTTTGCGCGGCCATCAGTGTCCCCAACGTCGCTGCACCGTGGCGTCAGTTCAGGCCAGAGCTCAGTGTTCGGAGCAGGCACGATCCTCCGATGCCACTCGGCGTGTTTTGCGCCAGTGTCTGTGAGATAACTGACGTGTTTCGACTGAACCGTCCGGCTCGATCAACGGTTAGACGGAGAGCCATTATAGATCGGACGAACACCATCTCGTCTCTCGGGCGACAGAGGCAGTGGAATGAACGCTGTGGTTGACAATGCTCGGAAATGTTGCATCCGTGTCGCAATGTGTTTGCAATCTGTTGAGGGAGTGGGAGATCTGGGGACGTCATATAGTGCATGTGCCTCGTCGAATGACATCGGGAGACAGGCCCGACCCGTTCATTCGGACGAGCCATCAATATGTTTTCTTAGAGCCAGCCGAACCCAACTGCTATGCAATAACGTCGTGATGTTGACCCCAAAGATTAATTTCCAACATTTTTATTTGCAATAACTTAATTGCTGCATGGGCCATGTCAAGTTCACGCCCTCTTAGCTGAGCCTACATGAGTGAAAACTAGCCTCGGTGTTTTTATCATACTGCATGCAGACATGAGGCGGTGCATAGGATGCATCACTGTACCTCAAGAAACACTGGTCAGGCATGAACCAAGCAATCAAGCTACTGCCACATAGGTGGTGATAACTATTCTTACCTTTTAAACTGAGTTTCCAGCTCATCTTGGCTGCCCTCTGCCTGCGAGGCGGCGATGGGTCTGAGGAGGGATATGCTCGCTGTGCACCATATTGGCCTGGTGAATTTCTCAACCTATCACCGAACCTGAAGCAAAAATGAAATAAATCGTTGGTGCGCACTTATGGGCGCCATCAGACCACTCAGTAACATAATGTTTGACACCTGGATGCTACGAATGCGGCAAGAAAGGACTTAGATGCCTAAAATTTGGAGAGTACATTGAAGGCTGAAGCAATTCAGTTTTTGGCATGCTACAGGAAAGATTACATGCGCTCACTGACTGCTGGGTTTAGAAAACTGGAAGCTTCAGTCAGTGTCGAAGAGAAGCCCTGGTCAGTCACCACATTATGTGTGACTAATTTGAACGTCCCCATTAAAGCAGTGTTGTGGCAAATGGTTTGCTGCAATAGCACGCCTCACGTGTCAAGAACATGCTTGAAATCGAGCGCAAGGAAAGTATTCCTTCACACATGGCACATATTCAAAAATCAACAAAGTGATTAACTGGCAATTATTTGTGTCATAGAAGAGCCATTGACACCATCCGCGTTGAACGTGGAAAACGCACCTATAGCAGGATCGCTGCTGCAGGATTTAGCAGGATTTAGCAGGATTTGCTGATCGCAGGATCGCAAAGCCTTCGCTGGGGTCTCGTTAGGCTACCGACCCCTGACCCAGTTGGAAGCAGCTTCTTGGCAGTCGCCCTCGTCCCGACGTACCGGTCGCAGAGGGATAGCCATCGTGTTTTGACGGCAGCTACTGAGGGAAAACAGAAAGTCATTGACAGAAATTCCGCTCATTCACGTTTTCTTCGATGCTGTTCATTACATTCCAATTGCATGCAAATACTTACGTTTTATTAGACATATCCATGTCATACGAAAGCCTCAGCCATGTGTGGCACGTGATGTCACTGATCCAGCATCAAAGTTTCAACCTATAATGCTCATTTCATTCAACGTAAGAAACACACTGCATCAGAGCTCCATGATTTGACCCCGTACTGTCACACTCTTGACGTGTTCTCGTTACGCTAGTTGGCGGCGCTGATATTGTACATTTGGTTCGTAGAAATTTAGCAGGGAGATAAGGGCACTTGCTAGGGTCCTTCTGAGAACTGGAACTGCCCAAGCTGTGGCTATTTCTAATAAGCACTGCTCCCAGAAACAGTGCTGAAAGGCAGCTGCACTACCAATGGGTATGCTGGGCGTGCTGTGGAAGAGGCGGGTATGTTATTTATTGTTTATTTCAGGCATCATCAAACCTTACTCGTCATCCAATCAGAAAGAAAAAGAAAGGTACATTAGACACACATTTGATCCAGATCCCGAACAGTCTCAACTCTGGGGGTGTTCGTCTTAATCACATCTTTATAGCCATGGGCCTTTCAAGTATAAAGCCAAAGACGCAGTCTCTTGTGCGCACATGCTGGCGCCGAAATTTGTTTATCGATAGTCTACCAAGCGAAAAAGCAAGGCATAAGAAAGCATTACACCACACCTTACAATGTACGCTTTAGCACTGCCCTTATAACAACTGAAAACCTACAATGTAATATCATTTTGTAAAGCACATCGGGTGAAGCAGCCGAGATCTTGTTAGAGCAGCATTAGACGAAAAACAAAATTTCGAGAGGGCTTATGAAATAGGCAGACATTCAAGAAATGCAACACTTCACACTAACGTGGTTAGCTCATGTCACTCGTAACGTAAATGTGATTTTAGATGATGTTAATAGAGGCTAGGTTGGCTAATGCTGTCGGCCGCACCAGTGGGTGGGTCTTTGCTCAGTAAAATGAGAAGGCTTTTTCCACAAGCCGCGCAAGACTTGGTCTGCCCCAAACATCTAGTTACCACCTTTGTCATGGCTGCAGATTGCTCAGCTGGTTATCACAATGGCCATGCTGAAATCCCCATGGCAAGCCACCAGTGGGAATACACGTTAAGTACGTACTTGAGGGCTCAAGATTGGGAAAGTGGCTTCAACCCCCGCCTTAAACTGAAACTAGGAAGCTGCGCACCTGCTGGAGACGTAGCAGGTACACCATTATGCGGATGCAAATATAGGCTGGCACCATTCCAGACAATGCAAATATAGGACGGGCACCACTCCAGACAATGCGAGAATCGTACGGCGATTCATATCAACACGGGGGAATGAACGCAAGCGTCATTCACCTCTGCCGTCTCATTACTGGCTGCTACACCACCAAACCACTTCTTTGAATGGCCCTCGTGTGGTGCTGCGTGCTCGGTCAAGGCGGAGTCGAATAGCGCCAACTTTGTCGCGCCGACTCCACAGCTGTCGGCGCGGCGCGCGGCGCGTGCTTGGACGGACATATTTCAGCAACATTTTGGATTAGTTCTTAACTCTTCTCGTGCGTCTACAGACGCAGGACGGGTGCCCCATCGGGACTCAAACGTTCTCAGGCCTTCACTGCGCGCCTCAGGGGGCCCCAGGCGCGGTCTCAAGGGTGTTTACATGTCGGACGGGCCCTAGCAGTTACTTGGCCAGCAGTTACTTGGAGCACCTGGGCCACCTTCCTGATGAACCGATAGCACGATAGCGGCCCTGCCACTAGCTCGGGCCTTGTAGTTCTCTACCGCGCTGCTGAAAGTTCGAATGAAGTGAGGCCACGCAACATAACAGGTCCCGTGCAGCGCGCTGATGACGCCGGCTCCACCAGCAAGCGGTGTTCCTGTGGCAGTACCGTGCACGGTTTCGGGAGCGTGCCTGGTCCCAGGCCAGCACGCCGGAGCACGGTACGGCGGCGCCGTGGCTGGAGGTATGGCCGTGGCAACAGGCGGTCCCAAAAGGTTCGAGAGGTTCACGCTGGGATGGTTTTGGTCTCCGCGTGGCTTCCACCACGCCGTGGCCTTCCGAAACAAAAGCCAGGTGACGGGCTAAGATTGACGGCCGACGGCCCAGGAGAGGCCCGGCTGCAGGCGGGCTGGATGCCCTCGGCGGGAGCTTCTTCAGCGCGATCAGGACTCTGGAGAAGCATTTCCGTGTTGGGCCTCGATTTGTTATGTTGTGGAAAGACCAGTGCTCCACCATGACGCTATCTTCCGTGATTTCCTTTCCCTACGCGGCGTCATACCTTCATAAGACCATGCAATAGGTGCGAGAGTGCTCTATTCTGCTTTGGCTGTAGCTCAAAAGCTGCTGTTCGGGACACGGTTTTGCTCGTTTAGAACACGTTAGAAGGTCGAGCACTTTTGTCGCAGGTCCTTCAATCAGTCATCACGCGCGCATGCTTTCCGCGCCAGACTGGTATTACGTCACGCGGTCGGACGTTGCAAGTTCTGCCCAGCGGCAGAACTTGAGAGGGCTTTCAGGCTGCCATTCTAATCCACTCAGTTATGCGACCGAAATCTAGTCACAACCGCACTTGCTTGAGCGTCGTTGCATGATTGATGCGGCGAGGCTACGGCGAACTCTGAACGCGTTATTTGATTTGCCAAACATTTTCTGGAATGCGGATTGACGCCGGACATCAGCGACATTCCGTAACGAATGGTCTACCCAGCTGTCAATGGCTGTGTTCACTCCTCTACTGATGTCAGTAGAAACCTGGGACGACGGCGACGACGCCGAGACCAACGTCGATCCGGTGCCGGAAGCTGTGCCACGCGCGCCAGCATTCTCAGATGATTCGTCCATGTTCGGGGCCTCGTGCGTCACCCAATAACTTGCGATTTCCCCCGGGCTTGGTTGCGAGGGCAGCGTTAGGTGAAGCATCCCGGGGCGGGATGGTGCTGACGAGGGACGCAGGGGACCGACGTCCCGAAGTGGTCCTGTGTAATCATGCCGACGGATGCTCTTATGTATGTACCGAAACAACGTCCGTGTTTCCACGGCAGCATGAAATCTGAATCGGATCGCACGCAAGTGATTCATGGGAACATCCGCGCTTGGTCCCCTGAACGACTTACGTAAGCGGTAGTTTCACTTCCTCTTTTCAAAGCGGCAGTGCCGAGACCCCGGCCAGTACAAAATGCTTTCGAATATTTTCACACCCTAAACTGGTAAAAACACCTCTATCCTTCCCAGTGTTCCCAGTAGAGTCAAGCACCTCGTATTAAATGTCACAACGGAATGACCACCGGCAACAATAAATACATCTGGGCGAATAACCTCAGCGCTTCCTCATGGGTTTGTCAATCGCCGAGCATGCCCAGCTTGGGAGTTCCTTGTTGTCAGCACTGAAGCTGCGCGACTTATGACAAGAAACTGTCCTGCAGCATAGGAAGACAAAGGCACGCGAAATTATCTCTAATATCATTTGAAGCAATCTGGTACATGGAACGGCCTAATGAACAGTCACGCGCTGACTACCTGGTCCGTTGCGACTACGAACAGCAAGTACAGGATTTTCACATATTTAGTTGAACTATTTTGGCCCGATGAGAGTCGTTGCACATGCGACAGCTCAGGAACGTTGTAGCAACGTTGATAGTGATAGCCGCAAGGATATAACAATTTGGGGCAAACACTGGGGACCGGAATGATTTCGCTGAGCCTTGCGGAACGCATATGAAAACTCCAACCGTAGTGGTTTTCAGAGAGCAGGACGTCAAAGTTTAATCTGTGCTCACCAAATGGTTCATTTCTGTCGCCCGGTGGTACCTCATCATAAAGCTTTTGTTCAGAGACCTGAATTTAAACCAGGTGATGCGTTGCAGCGAAACAGTCAAACGCACAAAAGTACATCTGGAGTGGTTGCCTCAAAGCATAAACAGGTGTGCCATTCTATATCAAGGACGCATTCCCTCCCTATCATGTAGATGCTTGTTTATATGATTCTATTAAAGTAATCACCAGAAAGACAGGTATAACAATTTCAAGGCGTGACGTTGAGCATTTTGGAGTTATTTAATGAATTCAGTGAAGGCCGGGGTAGTTACCTTTAAACCTCAACCAGCGGTCGTCGGATGTCCGTCAATATCTTGCACCCACGGCACTTGCTGATCAATCACGCATGACAGATATATGCCATTCATTAGGCTTGTGCAACATGCACTAGGTGTTCTCAGCTCCGACAGGATCTCAGGACCCCCTGGTCCGAGGCGATACGCTGTTTTTGTGGGCAAAACTGTCACAGAACCACAGAGTTCTTATCCACATGCTCTGATGGCGAAAGGTAGGAACGAAGGCGTATGCGCCTTCGATCTCACCTTTTGTTCGTGGTCTTTTTTTGTTCATAAATGGTGCCGATTGTTCAGCTTTTTCGAGAGGGCTTTTGTTCGTCGATAACTCGCATGTTGGGTCTGAGTCTGGCTGTCGGGTTGACGTGGATCACCAGCAACCTACCAAATCCTTGTAACATGCGTCCCTGTGATTACTACGGCTGTGAATAACCCAGCCACGCGCGTCGATAATGCAGCGACGTGAAGCGACCATCGAGCTCTGAGCAGTAAGCGTGCTTGAGTGTATGCTGCTCAGGCTAAGAGCTAGGCTAGGGAAGGTGACAGGTGGCAATGCATTCAGCAAAAGTCAGCATTTCTTGGTATGGCTGAAGCGCCAGCATTCCTGGTAAAGCACCACTGAAATGCCAAGGTCTTGAATATATAGCTACTTATCAACTGTCGGTACACGTTCATTTTCTTGTCCCCATCCCATGATCCTAGTTGATATAACTCGGGCGAAATCAGGTAGAAATGACGTAAAAGTACTGTTTTATGCAAAAAATCAGTGCAATGTTTGCCTTATTCATTCAGTTGCAACAATGACTATGTACTTGACGAAATGCGACGCTAAGTTAAATGCATACGAAGAAATACAAAACAGCTATTTGTGGTAATAAAAATGGCACATAAATAATTTAACGCATACAAACTATCTGCATGGAATTGAGATTGGATGCAATTGATTCGACGTCAAATGTCCAATGACGGTGATTCAAGATTGGCGGGCGCAAGATCCTGTGGACAAGAATATTTTGGCACATTGTCACGCAAACATATGTGTTGCAACAAACTGCATGCGCACAAAGTATTGCGATACAAACAAAGATTGACTGATAATGAACAATGCTACGAAACTGCAACAGGTGTAATTGCTGTGCGATGATTTTCAACACGACCTTTTGTCCAGCTAGGTATGCGACTGCTCATCTCGGGCACTCAAAGTTGGGCAAGTGCTGTCCACTGCAATGGAATATTTCGATTCATGTTTCATTTGCATTTTTCCTTTGCCCAGCACGCTTTTAATTTCACGTGAAACGTGTTCAGGATGCAATGACGTAAAAAGTGTCACCTGAGTACAAAACTTTGAGACATGATACCCTACGTCTAGACTACAGACAAAATTTCTACCCGGTATCCTCCTTTTAAGGGAAACAGAACTGAACCGAACAATGGGGGAGGCGAGTTTTGCATCGCCCAACTTCTGAATGGTTGAGATCATGTGCACTAGTGGGGGGCGCCGGTAGTGTAGTGGTTAACGCGCTCGTTCCCAGACGCGTCTGCGCATCTGGAAAACCAGAGGTACGGGGTTCGATTCCCCGCGGTGCCCGCCCTTCCTGCCGGGGTGAGAGGCAGTCGACGCCATATAGCCTCAGCAGCTGAGTGCGTCGTAAAGCCCAATGACACACACACGACACACATGTGCACTAGGTGCGTGAAGGCTCGACGCAGGGCACGGGTGCATGTGACCGTTAAAGTGGTTGGCAAATGTACTTCATTTAAGTGCTTGAGACACAAATAATTGCAACACAAGGATATCTGACTGCTGCAGACATAGGTGAAAAAAGACAATCAATATCACGTTATTTCTTCCTTCTAACGTCCATATGTGTCTCTGGTCTGGGAAACTAGCGATACGGGGTTCGGTTCCCCGCGTTGCCCGCTCTTCCTGTCAGGGTGAAAGGCAGGCGACGCCATGTAGCCTCAGTAGCCGAGTACGTCGAAAAGTCCCAATGAAGACGATGACTCCTTACATCCCAGAAAAGATCGGCTCGTTTTATTTTCTTGACACTTAGTCTTTTACTGTTATCCAAAACGGCTCGTTCGTAAATACCCTAGACTGCCGTGAAACAGTGCTTGAGGCGCTATGCTGCTATTTGTCCCTGAAAGCTGCAAGGATCCGCAACAGTGATTACAAAGGCATTAGCGCACATCCCAAAGGCAAAGCGGTGGGTTCGGACTATGCCAGCCGCTTAGTTCAGCTTTCCCCACATTCCAAGAGAGCTTCTCCAAGAAAACTAAAAAAGATTCCAGAAAACTACGTCTTTGCATGAAACAGTGATCAAATTTGTAACGCAGTTGCAGCATCGTAATGCTACTGCAATCTGATCTTTTTTTAATTATCGCTAGACAAAGGCATTCTCCATCCACCAATCAGAGCCCAGCCCGCTTGCCTGAAGGACCGTTTCGCACCCTCGGCGTTGTATGGTTTCAGGGTGTGCTCTGTCATGACGACTGGGCCGAGCTATGTCATACAGGCCGCCCTCAGGTCTTGGCTTGGGAGCGGTGATAGACGAGCCTCTTACCGGTCCGACAGCAGATCCACGGTGACCCGAACAGAACAGATGCCCGCCTTAGCTGGCGGCTTGATGCCGGTCTCGACGATTGATGGGGCTGCAACCGGGCACCATTTTGTAACGCTAAAAACGCGGTTTGGCCGTGAGGCGACAGATGAACATGTCCCAGCGGCGCATGATTGAATGATGATTTGTGATGACTTGAATGTTTTTTCATGTCGGCAGATGAGTCAAACTGTTCCACAAAAGTGTTGAATTTTGCTCCGTGTGATGAATAAGATTATTTGTGTATCCATCTATCTGTCTCCTAAAATGATTGTCATTCAAGATGCAACATCTGAGCGAAAATGACAATCACATCATTTCAACTGTTAAAAGATATGCAGATAGCAAACCTCCGGCTGAGTTGCAAAGGCTGCTGTACGCATCGCTGCCACGGTTCCGCTTTTCCTGCGCGACTTCAAACACCCATAATGCAAACAGCAGTGGACGCAGGTCGGCAGCGGAGACTCGCCCGGAATCCGCTCATCATCAGCACACCTCGCCCATGCACGCCCATCCAGAGCTGGGCCGCCGGCGCTGTGACCGTCGTCCGCTTCCGACAGGCTGCTGCGGGGCAACCGGCTGCGCCGACTGCAGGTCGGGGTGCTGGCGGGGCTGGCGAACCTGGCCCATGTACTACTGGACGGCAACCTGCTGACAGAGTTCGCCGCCGGCCATTTCCAGCACCTGCCGCAGCTACGCTTTCTGTGAGTGAACTTTTCCAATCTGCTCCGGGCCTGGCGACGGCGTCATGTGGTCAGCGCTCCGGCGTCGCCCAACTTATTAGAAGCTGCCTGCGGACCCGCGCAGCTCGCTGTGTCGTCGGCCGTCCGGCCAGCTGCTCAGCGGCTCGTTGCCAGAACCGACGGTAGCGAGGGTGCGATGTGGGGGCGCCTCACTGATCATTGTTCCCACCAATTACCTTAGAAATCACATGCCACGTTTGCAAGTGGCATGGATCGGACGGAGAGATTGGCGTGCCCTCCGTCCCCCCAATCCGAAACCGGTGGCGACACCCTTTCTCGTAGTTGTGAAATTAAGTTTCGCGAATGTTGTAGAAATATCCTGCCTGACTGGCTAGTGAGCTGCTTATCCATATCTATCTGCCGTCCCTAAGCAGAGGATAGTTTCACTCAAAACAATTTTGACAACTGATGAGCGATTATAACGACAAAGATAGCTTATTAACCAATTTTTTATCCAAAACTTCCGGAGTTCGGAGGGCAGTACGCCGGTGTTGGAAACCGGAGACGGGAACCTTTTAATGCGGAACTTGACCGTCGATGGCATGTTTTTTTCTTGTGTTCCCGTGTAAAAATACCCGTATTCAGACCAAACAAATGAAGAACGCTGAAATTGCACGGCTGTCGGTTGACTTCCTTAAAGAGCACCTGCACCCTTCCAGTGCCGATCGATTCTTGGCTCCGCCAATCTATGTGGGCCGCTCACGATGCTGACATTGCTGTACGATCACAATACATGATGTTTAAGAGCCTTTATTAAAGTTCTGAAATAATGACATAAGTCTCCCAGCCAATAAGGCCAGTACTGCTGTCTTATTTCAGCCTCCCAGCCTCTTAAGTTAAGACCATGGATTCCGCCAGATTTTACGGCCTTGGATTTCACTAGATTCCGCGTTCAGATAGCGTGCTTGATATGAATGGAAGAGCCTGAAAACCGATAGTGGGAAAACCATGACCACAACAATATTGTAACGACAAAACCGTCACGTGGTATATCCGGCCAGGGTTACGCATGCGGTGAGAACATTACTTGTGGTGCTGCTGCGTGTTGTACATGTGCACAGTGCAATTGCTGACAGACATTACTCATGATGCTCCTGTGTATTCCACATATTTTGGTGGCATATCTTGGTGCGGTCAGCATTAATACACGGAGTTCGGCCATTCCAAAATTTGCAAGACTGCTTTCACCCATGTTTGAATTCGTGCCATTGCGGAAAACAGCCTCTCGTGAAGGATTGTGAAGGATTTTGTCAGATATTGAAGGTGTCAAAGTAGCGATATTGGCAGAACAATTATCCAGACATCACGCATTTTCCGAGAATAAATTCTTGACACATTGACAAATTTTCGCTTATTGCCAAAGCATCAACCTTCACAAATTAACATTGGTGAGGTGCAGAGGAAGCATAAACCTTTGTAAATCGAGCCTGCTTTCAGCAAGGCCAGTCCAATTTTGCTTTTCGAGACATGGATCTTCTTGCCATGGTTACGATGCCGATTTCGGAAAATCGCTGAAAAACGTCGAATGTACGAAACGTAGTCGTAAATATACCTTCAGTTCGATGCGTGTCCTTTTCTGCCTCGGCACGCACGGATTCGTGCGACGCATGCCAATCGAGAGCACAACAAATTCAATTAACTCAGTAATGGAGAGCGCAGCGCGCAAAAGCAGCCACCATGGAATTACATTACGAGTGGCAATTGATTCGTCGTTGCTGGGGTCAGCTGGGTCGTGGGGCGTACTGAACTGGAAACCTGTAGTTACCGACCGCATCCTCCATTGGGGGATGGGACGGATATGTTCACCCGGCCTGCTGTGAATGTCTTTTGCCAAAAGGCCTCATCGGTAGCCGATTTGTACTCTTGCATTAACGAAAAACGCTAGGGATTCACCCATCGATTCATCCCCGGGGCTAGTTCAGATTCAGACGTGGATCAGACATGTGCTGGGACCATCCACGATGCGATGCGTGGCTGCGGCAGCGTCGAGTTAAAATACAAGTAAGCGGTCAGTGACTCTCACGTGGTGTACCCACTCACATACGGCGCAAACAGCTGGCTAATCGGTCAGGAACCCTGAGTATAACAGCGGAGCAGCCAGCAAGCCGGGGTTAATATTCATCCTGTCTGTGGTGCAAGACTGGACCCAGCGCTCACCTACGTATAGCTAGTCCAGTTCACCTAACAGATCTGACACGAAGTCAAGCTTTTTGCGGCCAAAACTAGCTATTGCCTCATTGTTGACCATTTTTTGCATCCGAGATAGGTTCTCCTGCAAATCATTGTTATATATGGAGATGCAGCAACGCATTTGCGAGATAATGAAAGCATTGACCAACGCGGAGATGACGGAGGATGACAAGTACTTCCTTAGATGTGATTAATAACGATAAGTCCCGTAAAAGCCGCATGTAATGGGCGGTTGCACGATTTTCCCAGTTTGGACAGCGACCGAATTAGACCAATACCGTGAAGTAGGCGGTGTCCTGCAGTATTCAATTGTCATACGGTGCGACTCTGCTCGTGTTTAGCCGGACCGCACCCAGACACCACCATTGCGAGACAAGAACCACACTCAACGAGCGGATAGCGGGCGGCGCTGACCCGGACGGTCGGCGCCTCGGGCAGTGACAGGAGCCGGCGCCCTCGACAGCGCAGTGGCGTACCCAGATCACAGGTTCGGAGTGGCGCTCACCAGTATCATCACGATAGGAGCAGATGTTGTGTGCTACCCAGCAGCAGGTGTTGGGCCTTTCCCGCACCTATTTCCTACCCGCCCGCTCGAAGCCGAGAGGAGCCAGGGCATGCTCCATCGTAGCAGCGACATTTCAGAACTCGGATCTCTCACCGCTGACCAAAATTGGAGTGCCGTTGGCATGCTGGACGACTGCTGCACTCCGTGAATCAACCGGCATTGTTGGCGAAGAACCATCAGGGCGGGGACTAGAGAAGAGCAGAGCGCTGAAATGCTCCCATGTTTGGGAGCGATTCTGATGTTTTGGATTGTCTCAGAGAGTTAATACGGCTGAAACTGGGTGTGGTCGCGTAAGCTCACAGAAGATCTATAGATATCGTTTCTTTAAGTTATCACGTGGCACGGATTGGTCCAGTCGAGTCGCACGCTGTCGATCACAGCAAAGCATTCGCTGAAATGACATTCACGGCCCGACGCCAACAGAGCGCTGACGAAGAGCGAACTCCATTGGCTCGGCGTCTCTTCAGGCGGCTTGCGGCCGTCGCTCTCCCTGCCAATCGTGCACACAATCCGCCGCTGCATGTCGCAGCACGCGCAACCACGTCTGCCAGCGGCACACACGTGCGTTAGGATTTGTCGTCACATGCGGAATAGGAAGCCGGAAGTGGTTTAATATGGAAAAGCGTGTCATTTATCCTCTTTAAATAGTCTTCGAAATATTAAAAACCCAGCCTACGCCGGCGGATATATTATAGCAAGCTCCGTACGTACGTTGGTCAGTGCATTAACAAGGAACATTACTCACATAGATAAGACAGCAGTAATAGTCTTATTCCTCGGAGAAAAAAGGAAAATGGAGATATAGATGGGTTGATATTTCAGCGCCATGCCTTCATCGAAACGATAGCAGAAGTGAATTCACTTCCGCTATCGTTTCGATAAAGGTATGTTGCCAAAATATCAACCCATCTATATCTTCATTCTCCTGGTTTTCTCCGAGGAATAAGCTCCCTACAGTTGGGGGCTACTAAGTACTACATCTGGTGGCACAAGTCACAGCTTCTTTATTTTTCGTTGAAATGCGACCTTTAAGGTATGTTTTGTGGTCAATTCGACCAGACGGATCTATTAACGGTTAGCTCTTGTAAAAATTGACAGATGCTGGTAAAAAAGTCCATAAAAGTGTCAATCTGCATAATTTCAGCAGACACGGCGCATAACATTGCACCACACAGAACGGCTTCAAGCGTTGAATCTGGTGCGCGCATTTCGCTTAACACACCTACAATATAGCCCCACGCATCGCAGGCGATCACAAGTTTCATAAAGCAGTGAAGCGGCCCACTCCCATACTCAAAACATGGGCCCATATGTCAAAATAACTCTGACAGAAACACACATTTTGGGAGACGGGATTCACTGCTGCCCGTGTTACATGCTCCTGTAAGCATGTAAGCACCCATGCTACTGGTCATCCGAAAAATTGAAATCCTGCTGTCTTGACCACGACGGCATGAGCCTCCTGTGTCGTAAACATACACATTCATGTCGCTTCGCTTCGCTGATCACGAGAACTGACGCTTCTGTCGTCAATGTGACCGGCCTCTCTACGACCTGAGTGTGGGCAGGGAACCCTTCCATCTTAGGCGGGAAGTTGCCTCCACTCGGGTATTTTGTTAGTGGCGGTTTCTGTCACCAGACTGCGTCCCAGTCAAATGGCTGGCCATACTCGTTGGCAGCGAAGTTCAAAGCTGGCGGAGTTAACGGGCGAATGTCTTCCTGCGACTCAAGACGGCTTTTCAGGGTGCGCTTTACGGCCTGCTGTCGTTTGGCCTTACGTGGAACGACGCCGTTACGTGGTGGCCCACCAGCTACTTCGCCACCGACTGAAGCTGAGTGTTTGGACCTCCCATCGATATGCTCGTCCGCTAGGAAGCCTACGCCAAGCGCGAGCCATCAGCGAGGTACATAGCATGCTGTTTGCATGCATGCAGCAAATTCAGACATCCGTGCATCGGCAAATGTATTAGCAGCTGGCAATGGAGTGGGCGACCGGAGGCAATTTATGTCGACTCGTCCGACGTGTAAACATGGGTTTCATTTCTGCCAGTCAAGTGACGTCACTGTCGTCCTGTCATGATCCACCACGTCAGAACACAGGCACAGAGACAGAACGATACTGGACGTATGTTTTGAAAGCTGAAATAACGACACGCTTCTAATCTTTAGATGACTTACTACGAAAAAGTATGCAAGGGTAGCGACTAAAAAGGATCCAAGGAAAAAGCGCGAAATATCAATGTACCGAGTGCTATATTCGAAAATTCCATTTTAAAAGGCCACAATGTTTGCAAAATAGCGTATATGGACATATTTATAGCAGGTTGTTAGCTATGAGCGGATACCTAACTTAACTTTGAACGGTACAGCAACCAGATTTTGCGGCCCACTAGATCGGTCAAAAGCATCCCGCTCCGAGCGCTGGCAGACCGGTCATAGAGACTGCGGTGGTCAGAGCTGATGTCAGCAGGCGCGACTGCCGCATATCGTTGCGACGTCGCCGCTGGTAGGACTGCACTGGACGAAAGATGGCTCATGCGCTGTTCCTGAAGCCGCTTTACGAGGAGGTTACGTGAGCACCTTCTGCCCAGCCGTCGCATCATCGATCTCCCTGAACAGCTGTCGCGGATTAAGCTCTCTTGCATGCGGCTGGTTCTTGAACCAGCGAGCAGGTTTTTGTTAACCATCTGAACCAGCCGGCAGATGTTCCCAGAGCGTTCAACATTCAGGGACGGCGCAGCGGCGGGGCGGGGGGGAGAGGGGCAGACCGAGAACCGGGATGAACCGAGAACGATAAGTGAAAATGCATCGAATAGTACAAATTGGTAGTGATTGGAGCAGTAGCTTATGAGAACCGAGCTGGCTGCATTTGCACTTGAGATTTCCCTTGGCACCTCGGAGGCTTCTGAGCTGAGCTTAGGATACCATGTTGCCAACGTTTGATCAACTAGTCACGTCGAATACTGAAAGACCGGGAGAAGCTGATCGAACAGCTTCCACGCGTGAGCCTATCTGCTCTGTTTGCTGTGTAGCGGTATTGGCTTTTTAATTTGACTTTGCTGTGTTTGCTGTGTAGCCGTGTTGGCTTTTTAATTTGACACGTGAAATTGGCTGGCCTTCAGCTTACCCGTGCCCTTGTACTTTTAGAAGAGAAAATCACTAACTTTGTGATAATTTTCATTTTATTGTAGCCACGGTATTTTGGAAAAGTTTACATATACAAGGTGTATATTGGCAAAGTGAAGTGGGAAATGCTCGTGTGTAGCCAACGTAACACACAGCCACTGGCGGTTTTGGCCCCAGCTGCTGTGCACGAGACCGGTTTTAAAGAGGGAGGCATTTCTGGTTTCTGGTTTATTGTTTTAATGTTTAAAGTATTATGTGTATATATTATCGTTATATTACTGGCGCCTCTGGAGTACATCAGCACTAGGAGCTTTCGCCGATTCATGTATGATACGTTTGCATACGCAGCGCCTTCAACTTCACACAGCTATCTTTACCCCTTCCGATTGCTGAGATCTGACTTGAGTCGTTACGACTACAACAGACGAATCCATTTGTCTGGGCGCGATCACGTGTGCCATCTCTACGGACAGGCGCAGACTTCTGCTGGTACGACCGTTCGTTCCCTCCCCGTCAGACTTTTGATCAGGTATCATTGTACCCCTTGGTCGTTCAGATTTGAGGCCGGTTTCGCCTGTGCTGTTCACCCCTTTCGGCCCATTTAGGTAAAAATTCGTCTCAGTTCAAGTAAAACTTGATTGATCCGTAACATCACACATAAACAACCTTAAAGATGTTGAAGATCGCTACCATTGTTCCACTGTGAATAAAGCACGTGACTCTTACGCTCTGCTATGGAATGGTTGCACTGCATAGACGTAAAGGTAATTCAGTACTCATAGGCGTTGCTATTTAAACCCTTTTGTCATAGATAAGTAACCGGTAATTATGTCCTCGTTTGTTTCAGAAACCTGAGTAGAAACAGAATATCACTGGAAAACTACGAGTTTCCGCCCTCCAGACTGCAAAAGCTGTAAGCACCGTTAATGTGTGGAACGTGTGTGAGGCGTGTGAGCTTTCCACTGGACTCTCACCCGTGGGCGGTGGAACGGGGAAGACCAAAGGATAGGGAGCAGGGCGCTGAAGGCTCATATGTGGAGCGTTTGCTGGAAATGTGAAACCGAACAGGCCAATCGCTACAATCTTGTCCTTGTTTTATCCCTGTCCTCGGGATTAAACACTTAAGACCTGTCATTACTCAGCACGCGACATCAAAACCCAGCCAGCAAAAAGCATGGGATCTTTTTCAAATTGCAAAGCAAAAATCTGTACCAGATGCCCGATCTAGGAAATGCTTTAAATGACATGCCCACAACTTTTTCACCAAAACATGGCGTTTGTTACACTATTTACGTATAACTCTACAAATTCACTTATAAACAAACCCAGTAACGACTATATTGAGCTGTTGCGTTTCCGGACAATAACATTTCGTGTACAACGCATTTGTCACAAACACGTTGTTTTCAGGCATCTGGAGAACAACATCATTCGGCGTATTTCAAGCACGACGTTTCGAAACCTGCGTCATGTCAAAACATTGTAAGTGCCCTTCTGGTAAATAACTCTTATGCTAACTCGTGAAATTTTATGTATGTACTTTCGTTCATTTTCTTCCCTTATATTGCACTCATATCTATATAATACACACACAAACACACACACACACACACACACACACACACACACACACACACACACACACACACACACACATACACACACACACACACACACATATATATATATATACATATATATAGACATATACATATATATATATATATATATATATATATATATATATATATATATATATATATGTTCAATTAAAAATAACTGCTGCCTCAGCATTGAACGAGCTTTTTGACGCATCCCTCTAGTTTCCGAGCCTTTGACTTGTCATCATCGCTTCGATGAAATATTTATGTGACACATAGCAGCCGACCCGCTACAAAATGGTGAGATAAGACTGGACATTAACTGCCGCTACGTAGACGATATCTTTGTGGAAGTTAGGGACATTGGCCGACTAGGACGTCTCAAAAACACCTTTGAAGAGCAGTCTGGCTTAAAATTCACAACAGAGCTAAGTGTGCAAAACGTAATGCCTTCTCTTGACGTGACTGTCGATGAACGAGGACAACAATTCAAAACGGCTGTATGCCGAAAACAGACTAACAACGGACGGTGCTTAAATGCTGACAGTGAGTTTCCTCGACGCTACAAAATTAACGTCGTAGGGCCCTTCATAAGACGAGGATTTAAGCACTGCTCTGATTGGACAGGACTGCATTCAGAATTGATACCATACAGACGTTGGTGAACAACGGCTTTTCAAATTCTGACATTGAAAACGAAATATGACATATGACAAGACACTTTGACAGCAAACCAAGACAAGACATCCAACCAACCGGCAAACTGTGGTATCAAAATCAAATGACTTCTGCCAACAAACAAGACGAAAAAGCTTTACGGGAAATTATCTCTCGACATGTTAAAGGCAAAAACGACCACCAAATAGACATCGTCATTTATTATCGTAATAAAAGATATGTAACTTTCTTATCAGAAACAGCCCAGACAAACCTGACAAACTAAAATGCACCAATGTAGCATATCAATTCAAATGCAACATCGAAGGCTGCAAACTTCGTTCCATACACTACATTAGTGTGACCACAACGACACTCACGACGCCTGACAATGCACTTACGTGACGGGACACTTCTGGACCACATGCGATAAGAACACGACATCACATTGGCACAACAACTGACAGACAACACTGATATTTTACGGACGTGCAACGACAGAAGACACCTTCAAATTTGGGAAAGCATATTCATTAACGAACTCTCTCCGTCCCTAAACAAGCATACAAATTTTTGTACAACTCTTGAATTATTAGGCGGTGGGCGGTGAGCGCTATTCGATGTGATTGCGGCAAAAGTGTTTTCATTGTGTCTTTGTTGTGTTCCCCTTAAGAGTGTTTCCTGTATGTATCAGAGTAAAAACAGGATTCTGTCTTACTTTAATTAGTTATACTTCATTTATATTCTCCGTACCAAAATATTGTTTTCTGTAACAGTAGTGCACAATTTTTATCCTTTAAAACTCAAAACTTATTTCTTGTGCCATTGACTCTTCTCCGACAGTGAGATAGGATCTCGAAACGTTAAAGCGTAAGCAGCGATGAATATATGAGTAATTTTGTACGAACCATCTTTAATCTAAGCAATGATGCCAAGTCAAAGGCCCGGAAACTAGAAGCATGCGTCAAAAAGCTCGTTAATACCGAGTCAGCAGCTAATTTTAGTCAAAAACGTATAAAAGAAAGGATTCTCCAAACATATTACAACATTTATATATATATATATATATATATATATATGCGTGTGCGTGTGCGTGTGCGCGTGTGCGTGTGCGTGTGCGTGTGTGTATGCACACTAATTTTATCAGTTTCGTTGAGAATCGCAGCAAACGCCGCCTTGATGTCTTTTTCAGTTATTCTTCGGTTTGTCTTACGAAACGTTCAGTGTTAAAGCAATGTTTTGTTTTTTTAAAGCCCCAGCGTGCATTATTTCCAGAAGATGCAGAAAACCATGGCAAATGATCTGTACCTAGTTACAGTTCTCAGCGCTTCACTCTGCTTCGTAAATTTGCAATGTTTTTAGCTTAGGATATCGCGATCAATTTTGAAATTCAAAACGTTGTGTTAACGAATATGACCAGGATCGACAAAGCAACATGTTCGCAAAATGGTTTGCTATGTCATGCGTCAGTGTTCACCCCAGATTCCCCGCTCCAGAAAGCGCATACAAGCAGAAGCGCTCCTGCATATTGCATCCACATGTCTTTGACGCGCAGTACACGTCGTTTATTTGTCCCGGAGAAAGCAATGAGAGCTCTCCCATTCGCTGTTGGGTAAAGGTTGACGTCAAGGCCGCCCAGATAAATCAATTTCTCGTGCTTATGGACGCATCACCTTAAAAAGTACGTTCACTGGTCGGGCTTCATGTACTAGTCACCTAGTACACACCCGCTTCAACCTGACATGTAACGCTTAAAGCCTTCTGGTCATGATATATGCTTGGACATGTCCACTTTGGTATAATGATGTTCCTACGCAACCCACGAAAATTTTTGTGGCACTAGACCATCCTGTGATCCTGATCTGGTATAGGAGTGCATCGGTGTTCTTTGATTTATCCAGTAATTCCACAACGTTTCGCGAAGATGATTGTACTGACTCCGATCCATTTAGCCCTCCGTGCTCCTCTGGTCGTCATGGCAACGTCCGGTGCTGGCGGAACCGTATCCTGGACGCCTGAACCGTGTTGGCTGGATCAGCCTGTTTTGAGGTTTTCTGTGTACACGTGACATGCCTGCCGTATCCAATGCCGCGGGACATTTTACTGGTTTTAATGTGATGTGTTGAGTGATTTGAAGACACTTCCAACATACCAAGTTGTCCTCTTGCGTGAAAGTCTTTAAAACTTTCCGTCTGAATATCTTTTAAGTGCTCGACCGTGCCCTGGTGCAGATTTCCCAATCTCACAGGACTCTTCGCTTCTTTATTACTCTTTATCGGTTTGTTGATCCTCTTGACAGTCGCTTGGGTTCCCTGACTTTGTCAGGAGTGGCGATGTGTTCCGAACCGCTGCTTAGCCGTCCTGGACATCTGGCGGCTCTCGGGGTTTGACTGACTCGGGTGCCACTGGACCGCGCTCATGTGCTGCTCTGTATGTTTCGAGCCGATGACAGTTGGTGGTCTTCAGATCGCCTAAGGAGCCCTGTTTGCTTTCGTTTGTCCCTGTATTCTCACGGGGTTTTGTTGTTCTCATTAACCCATGCATGGCTTACTTCGAAACCGGTGGCTTTGTCATGCGGCTTTTGCCTTTTCATTGAGCTGTTTAAGGAGGTATTCCATATTTATTTTGGGTTTTGAACTGAAATAGCCATCTTGACGACCTTTTGGTGCCCTTCACAATCCTGCCCCTATTAAGACCTAGGCCCCTCTAGTTTTTGAGCTACACGCCAGCGAAACCCGATGAAGATATATCAGGGGTAATATTTCAGTCACCTTGGTATTCATGACGTCATAATAACGTCATTCGAATCCCGCCACTCCATAAGCCATGCGGCGATCAAGGCCAAAAAATGTAATTGTCGAAGTGTTCTTATCTGGTGTTCGTGAGCGCGATTTCTTGTTATAATAGCCTTCAATTGGCTCTCAATCAATGTTGTGCTAGGGACGATGGCGCAGTCAAACCATGGTGCATCGAGGAGATATTTACTAAACACAAAATTCGGCTTTCTAGAGCAGTCTTTTCCACTTAAGGGTAAACCAATAGTTATTAGTGAGCTTGTTTCATCATATATAATGCTTGCTTCAATATATTCAAACGTGAAACCTTTCGTCTAACCGTCGGCTTCCAACTCTTGCCGACACCCAACTACCACCACGAGCCCGGGTTATCTTGGCGTGGTGTCTTGGCGTGGTTAAACTGGTAGAACTCAGAAACTTTGTCAAAGCTTATATCCGTGTCGTGCAGAAATGAGAAGATTTCCGTGAATGTAGATTGAAGTTCAGAATGGGCCAACCATTTGTAATTAACATGGCCAGGCTATGTTTACCTGGATATCTTCAACATGTAGTCAGAATTTATTATTGGTACACATTATGTAACGTAGTTTTGAGCATGGGCGCTCACATATCTAAGAAACAAAACCCAACGCCAGGCGTTGCAGTCCCCCTAGGCCGCGCAACGTTGGCTGCGCGACCTATACTAGGCCGTGTTCAACAGGTGGACGGAAATAGTGAAGCATCTGAAAGAAAAGATCTCTGAACGCTCTTAGATACCAAATCGTTCATTTAGAAATATTTCGAGCGTATATATCACTAGTGTCATTTCTAGGACCCGTTACTCTAGATTGATGGCAAGAACATATTGGTCTCTACAGCACCGCGTGGTATTGCTGGAATCTGGTTGTGGAATTGGAAGAGCAAATGTAAAATATCTATTTGTCGTGTTGCTGTAACTCTGAGGATGTCCTTCAGTTATAAAGAATCATTCGCTCAGTGTAGTCGTTGAACTGTACGAATTAATTTTGAAAAACACTCGGAAACATTATTTTACTGTGGCCATTGTTGCGCCCTCGGCGCCGGCCCCCTGGCGTTATTTGCAGTGGCCAACACTGTCCGGTTGTACGAAAAATGCAACTCAAGCCATCTTTATCCTAACTCCCCGAGATTACGGCCGTGTCATTGGGGCTTTATAACGCGATCAGGTGCTGGAGCTGTATAGTGCTGTCAGCCTCTTACCCTGGCGGGAAGGGCGGGCACCGCAGGGAATCGAACGCCGTACCTGTGGTTCCCCGGACTATCGCTATCACACTATCGGCACCTGGCGCGCAGGCACAAACATTTTGAATTCATTTATTTCACTAGTCAATTCCGCAAAATAGTGAACGTTCCCAAAGAAACATGGGATGGCATTGCGCGTTTTGAGCTCATTCCGGCCCGTTCCATTCAG